TTTTTTAATTTATTTTTTAATAAATTTATCAAAAAAATAAAAATTTTATACTTTAAATGAATGATTAAAATTAATTTTATATTTTAACTCGATTTTTAATATTTCTAAAAAATTCTTTTTTAACTCAAATATTTTATTATTTATAAAATTATATAAAATTGCTTTCCAATATAAAAAAATTGGAAGCAATTTTATATAATTCGATTCTATATTTTTAAAAAAAATTAATATTCAACTTTTAATATTTTTAAATTTTATAAAATAGAAGTGGTTTTCATAATCCGATATTTATTTTGATAATGCTAAATTACTGAGTATATGTTTTTTGACTTTTTATTTAATCAAAACATTTTTAGTAAATATGTTTGAAATTGAAAGTTTAAAAAGAAACAGGATTTAATGTTATAAAGTTCAATATTTATTTATTTTATTTTAAAAATTGATTAAATTTAAAATATTATATGATCTGTTTAGTGATAAAAAAAAGACTTTCAGGTTATATATAAATTTAACAAAAAATTTGATTCTCTTAATAATAATTACATGGTTAGCAGACATTTTATTTTAAAAGTCTTTTAGTTTTATTAATTATGAAAATCAAAGTAAGTTTTAAATAAATACCGATTATGATTTTTAAAACGTTCGATTTTCTTCACAGATGTTTTTAACAATTTTATAATTTATTTAAAATAATTGATATTTTAATAAATAATTTCAAAATCAATAATTAGTTTTAAAAACATGTTAATTTATGAAAATTAATTTCATAAAAAGATTTTAAACAAAACTTTAATATTTTCAAATTTTTTTGATGAAGTTAACTTAAGGTTTATAAAAATCTTATAAATTTTTGTAGAGTTGGTTTACGTAAAATCTCTTATATTGTATTATTTTAACAAGTTTTCTTGTTCAAAGAAATAATATTATCATTTTTTTATTATAATTAATATTTTTAAGAATAAATAACAAACTAAAATGATATATTTAATAAAAGGTTTATTATCTTTAAAATAAATAAATCTAATCTGATATATTTTTAATTATGTATTTATAAATATTAGTTATTTAAAAAAACTTTCAAATTTTAAATTAAGTTGTATTCATTATACTTGATTATAAAACTCAAAAAACGACTATTCATAATTATTTATTTACAAATATTTTAAACTATTTATAAAAATAGCTATTAAAACTTACATCAATTATATATTTATTTTACTGATAAAACGCTTATTATAAAGTGTTAAAAAACATTTTTAGTGGATGAAACTCTACAATTTTTAAATTATAAATATAACTGATTTAATAAAATAGAATTATATTAATATTTTAAATTAAAATATATTTAAAATAGATAAATATAATTAACATAAGATTCTAATATCAAAAGGATGTTTTTGAACTTTGATTTAGTTCTCTTATTGTATTTCTTGTTATTTATTAATTTTCTTTATAAAAATATTTTCTGTTTTATTTTTAATTCTTAGTATTGTTGACTCTGTACACTTCTAAATAATTTATTTTCTAAGAAATGTTTATAAACTCAAATTTTAATCTTAAAAATATTGAGTTTAAAAATGTTCTATTTATTTAATCCTTAATTTTATTAATTATAACAAATAGTAAGGAATAAAGCAAATTAAATATCATTATTTACAGACTTCATTCTATTAGACAGCATCTTTCTTGAATCACACAATATTTAATAACTATAATTAAATTTATCAGATTATATTTTTCTTATAGAATTTTTAGAATAATTAAATTTGTTTTTATATTATTCTTTCAAAAAAATTCATTTAATAAAGTAACATAAGAGATTACTGATAAAGCATTTAAAATAAGTTATTTTAAAAAATATTAACTTTCTATAGAAACTTATATACTTTTATTAAAAATTAAGTGTTATTTACTTGTTGATTTTATTCATTAAGTTAATTTCAAGATTCTCTCCCAATTTTATTCATTGCTTTAGGATTATTTGTTGTATTTTTAGACTTTTTTATATATTTTAAACATGTTTAATTCTTATTAATCTTTCAATATCTTTTTTATTATAATATTCATTTAATTTCATATTTTAAAAATCATACAAGATTCATTTTAATAATATATTATGTGTAACTTTTAAGATTCGAAAAAAAAATTAATTGAACTATTTGTATAATATTTAGATAAAATTCTTAACTGTTAATTTTTGTGTATAATATTACATAAATATAATAAGAAATTATTCTAAAAGCTAATTAAAGAATAAATTATATAAATAATAAGAATGAAACTTTTGTAATTAGAATTATTTTATTATAAGTTTTTTTGCAAAAAAGAATAACAGGAATTGAATGTAAATAACTTTAAAGATAGTCTAATAAGATTTAATTTATCTTATTTATAAATCATTATCGAAACTGTTAGTGACGTATCAAGAACTTTTTTAATTTATTTTTTTATCTAGTTATAATCTATGTTATAAGAGTGTTTTTAGTAGTGTAATCTTGTTGATCATTTATTGTACAGCTTTCAAATCTAATTTGTAAAGATTTTACACAAATTTTATAATAAAAAAATTAGCTCAAATGATATTCATCACTCAATTTTTATTTTAAAATTATTCAAAACTAATGATTTGATCTGATTTTATTTCTTTCGATCAAAATTTCAATATTGTATGATTCATGTAAATATCTAAACAATTACTTGTCTTTTACTAAAAACTTGTTGTAATTTGTACTGTATTATTCGCAATTAAATTATTTTCTTTAATTTTTAGACTTAAATTAAATATTTTATAATTTATTTATTAAATAAAAAATAAGTCAGGATGTTTTGAAAATAGATGGCTTATTTTTAAACTGATCGATTTTTATAAAACATTTTATGAATAAAAAATTTATTAAATCATTTTAAAATTTAGTTCGATTTTACAGAAAAAACAAACCTAATTTTCAAATGTTTGATTTTCAATAAATTTATAGTTTTATTTGACAATCTTTATCAATTTATCATTTGTTTAATATAATTTGAATCAAATTTAGATATAAACATTGAAATAATTTAATAAACTTTTAATCTATTTTTTAATCACTTTTTATAATTTTTGATTTTATTTTAAATATTTTTTAAATTTTTTTAATAGAAATTTTCAGACCCTATTGAATAAAAATTCGGCCTGTAAATTTAAATGTTCGATTTTCTTTACAGAATTTTTTAAGAGTTTCATAATTTATTTAAAATATTTATTTCATAAGAATTGTAATTAAAATCAGTTTAAAAACAAGTTATACATTTAATAACCATCATTTGAAAATTATTATCTTAATTAAATATTCTCTAAAAATAGAAAGTGGTCTGAAATAAACACTTTTATTTTAAATATTTAATTATAGTAATATATTTAAAAAGAACATTAATGTTTTTTATTAATTTTATATGTTGACGAAATTCTCTCACGGTTAATAAAAACGGTGATAGTTTTTGTATATTCGATTTTAATATGAGAAATTTTTTAAAATTTTAATGGTTTTAAAGAAAATTTATTTTACTGATATTTTATAATAAAAAGATCTATGTATTAGAAAAACTATTTATAATTGAACATTTGATCTTTAATATGTTTCAAAAACAAGTAAAATATTTTTCAATAATTTTAAATAGGTAATAGATCAAATTACTGTTGTAAAATACAATGATTTCTTTTAGTAGGTTTGATTCTGATATAAATTATTTTTTTAATAATGAAGTTTGAAAAAGAAAATTTATTTCACTAAAATTTTATAATGAAAAGAGAATGTATTAGAAAAACTATTTATAATTGAACATTTGATCTTTAATATGTTTCAAAAACAAGTAAAACATTTTATTATTATTTTATTAAACGCATTATTTCTATCACAGTTAAAAAAACTGTGACCAGCTATTTTAGGTTCGATATTGATATAAGTCAATTTTTTAAAAAATATAAGTTAAAAAAATTTTTTCACCGAAATCTTATAATATTATAATAAATTAGTATTAAATCAAAATCTCAGATTATTAGACTAAAAAGGGTACCGTTTCGATTGGAGCTTCACGATTGGATTGGCGCCTTAAATTATATATATATATATTTTTAGTAAAATTTTAAGAAGATTAAAAATATTCATTCAACATTCCCTACCCCTTAATGGTGTGGGTTGTCGAATAAATAAAAAAACAATAAAAAAGTTTTTTAACAATCTTTTATTGTTATTTTTAAAAAATTTTCAAAAGATCATTCTTAGAAAAGATAGTAGAAACAGAAAAAGGTAAATGTTTTTGTAACATTGAAAGGGTTGTTCGTCTCTTATTCTTTTTTTTTAAATTTCGCTTGAATCAAAATACATTAATTAATTGAGTATGACAAAGAGTATTGGGGTCAATAAAATTTTCCGAATGATTAACGACCTTAAGGTTATTAAACATATTAACCAGTTCAGAAAAAGCTTTAAAGCCATCACTGTGGATAATACTATTCTTATCCACGTGTTCAAACAGGAGGGGAAGTAGAGAATCACGATCTCTCTTTTCCACAACAAACACATTGACCTTCCTGGATCCTTCTTAAGCCATGCCAAAAATCCATGGTTCATTGACACGTTCATTATAATTAATTTTATGGTGAGCATCATCAAGACTCTCCATAAAGTCATCAAGAAGCAATCTGCCAAGGTTATACTTTCGACGACTTCTAATGTGATTCGTATATTTGTACAACATTCTCCGTTCATCCTAATTTTTCACTCATAATATAATTATGAGTTTCTAATCGGATGAAATTAGTCCAGTTAGTCACTGTATCATTCCTTTAATTCAGGTCGCAGTCATTATGTATGATACTGTTCTTTCCTCAAAATAAAGAAAAATAAGTTTTACCAACTTATGAACTGATTTTACAAGTCGTGTTCTTCCTTCTCCATAAAAAAAGGTATTTGCAAAGAGACTCTGCTCTTTACGGCACGAATTGCATCGGAGAATGAAATGAATGTCAACTCTCTTTCTAGTTCTCACAGAGTGTCTTTTGCTTTCACAAAATCAACACTGCTTTTTGGCCATGAGTTTCATGGCTTCAATAGACACTAGAGAACTTAAAAAGGCATTGTCTTCTAAAATAGTATCTAATAGTTTACTATACTGTATTAAGGGTATAAAATTTTTATTTAATAAAATTCTATAAACACAAATCTAAAAATAGGACACCAATCAAAAGAATGCGTTTTTATTTATATTATAAGAACTAATTTTTATTATTTATTGAAATAATAGATGAGTATTGTAAATAGTAATTTTTTGTTATTGTTAACTTATATTGGCTATAAAGTTTTTAATTAAAAATAATAGCTTGTTTTATAACAATAAATGATATTTTTATAAAGTTATTTTTTAACAAATGATTTGAAATTATAAAAAAGTAAATTTATAATCATTTAGATCTTATTTAACAAATAATTTATCAAATTTTAAACGACAAAAGAAACTTAAAAAGTTTCACTTTTTTTTTTAATATTTAAATTTTATTTTACTGTTCAAAAAATGATGTTTTAGTATAAATTTTAAATTTGAATATCCATTATCATCATTAAAAAACATATTTTAAATTGTTATTTGCTTTTTAATATTTTATTATTAAAAAAATTATTTGTTATTATACTTTGATTTTATAAAAAAAGGGTTTTTTTCAGCTTTTAACAATTATTGATTTTTTGTAGACATTTTACTATAATTATTTTATAAATTAATAAAATAATAAACAAATTAAGTTTGAATTAAATAAAAATTAAGATTCATTTTAAAATATTTATTTCTTTATGAAATTATTATTAAATATTAAATATTTTACAAAATTAAAAAATATCATAGAATAAGGTACTGTTAATACATAAAAACCGTTACATTTTTTTAAAATTCGATTTCTAAACAAATCATTTTTTAAATTATATTTTTACTTTAAATAATTTCAATTAAATTGATTTGAATTATATCTTGTTTAAACAGAAAGACAATTATTTTTAATATTCAATTCTTTATTAAATATTTATATTTTAATATGATAATTTTTAAAAAAATAAATTATCATGCAATTGTTCACTGGTTTAACATTAAAACTGGTAACTTTTAATAATGTTCGACTCCTGATAAGTTCATTTTTTAAAACTAACCTTTTTAATTAAAATAATTTTCATTAAATTTATTATAATTGAATCTAGTTTAAACAAAAAGAAATTTATCTTATAATATTCAATTCTTTTTAAATTCATTATTAATTTTACATATTAAAATATAAATATTTCATAAAAAAATTAAATAGTCCGACAATTGTGTACTGGTTGAACATTACAACCGGTTACTTTTAATAATGTTCGATTCCTGTTAAGTTCATTTTTTAAACTTACCTCTTAACTTTAAATAATTCTAATTAAATTGATTTGAATTATGTCAGGTTTAGCTAAAAAGAAATTTAATTTATAACATTCAATTCTTATTGAATTTATTATAAGTTTATTATTTTATTTAATATTTTAAAAAATAATATAATATATAAGAAATTGTAGCTGTGTTACTTATCAAACACTGTAACTTTTAATAATGTTCGATTCTGATTAGTATATTTTTTTAACCTACCTTTTAACTTTAAATAATTTTGTCAAATTTTTATAAAAAGACAATTATTTTAAAATATTTAGTTCTCTTTAAATTATTATTTAATATTTATATTTAAAAATAAATATTTTAAAAAAAAAGTAAATTAGAGTATGAATGGGTCATTGGTTAAAATCAAAACCAATAACTTTTTATAATGTTCGATTCCCGATAAGTTCATTTTTTTAAAACAAATTTTTTAACTTAAATAATTTTAATTAAATTTATTAAGAATTAAGTCGGTTTATACAAAAAGATAAATACTTTAATCTTTTAGTTCTTATTATATTTATTATTTAATTTGTATATTTTAATATAATTTGTCGTGCCCTGCACGGCTTATAACTTGGTTTAAAAAAAACTTTTGTTTTTCCATCTTTTATTTAATAAATTTCCTTTTTATATTTTAAGTAACCAATAGTATTATAATTGGTTAAAACCCTAAAACGTTAAAGTATATGTCAAATTAGTTGACATGAGACTTTGATACGATATAATTATTTTATAAAATAACAAAATATTTCGCGAAAGAGGTGCTAGTTTAACATAATAACTAGCTACTTTTTATAAAGTTCGATTCTGATCAGTTTATTTTTTTATCTTACCTTTTACCTTTTAATAATTTGAATTAAATTAATTATGATTTAATTCTGGTTTAAACAAAAAAAAATTATTTTTTAAATATTAATTATGCGATTATTATTTTAGAAAATAATAAAATAAAATTAATTTGAGGCTCTTTAAATATTATAAAAGGTTTCTTTGCATAAAGTTCGATTTTAATTACAACAACTTTTAAAATAAAAATTCATTTTTTTCTTCTTAATGAAATAAACATATTAAAAACATATTTATTTTATAATTAGAATAAAATTTTAATCTTCAAATCTAAAAGTATTTTTTTATTAAAAATGAAAAAAAAATAATAGAAAAAAATGTTTTTTAATTTTAAGTTTCTAAATAAAAATCACAACAAATTTAATATTAATGATGTTTTCTTTTACTTATAAACTTCTAAGCTCGCTTATTAAAAAGTTGAAGTAATTATGTTATATATCTTTATTAATTTATACAATATATATGATTATTTAATCATTTTTAGTTAATTTACCTTATTACACAATTTACTCTTTTTGTAAACCTGAATATACTTGATAAAATTTAAATACAAATTTTTATAGCAATTTTAAACAAATTTAGTTTTATTTCATAATGATTATATACGAAAAATATGTTAAGGGTCATTAACCTAAAAAAAATAAAATCACCAATCTGATATTTTTTTGTTTATTAAAACAAAAAATTAATTCATATTCTCATTTAGTTATCTTGTCTTCAATAAAAACTAAATCTGAAACACTATAATATAATATTACACCCAATACCATAACATTTCCTCCTCCATCTATAATTGTAGACAGAATAATTAATTTTTATGTTTATACTTGAGTATATTCTAAACAATTCTTGCTTTAAAGCTATTAAATATATTTAATTTTAAATAATCTGAAAAAATTATCCGTTCTAATTTATCGTTTGTTATACTTAAATAATTTCAGATAATCTAAATCTATTTTTAATATTTCATCCTCAATAACGAATTTTGACTTAATTATTTAAATGAAACTTTTGTTTTTAAATAATCAAGGAAGTGATCAATATTAATATTCAAATTAAACCTATCTAACAATTTTATTGAAAGTGGTAGAAGAATAGAATCAACATTGTGGTGTTCATCAATTAAAAACATTTTTTGGATTAATTGAATATACTATTTTCTACCAATTCATCTTTTTCTTTTAAAAGACACCATTTTTATTAAAATATACATCTTTAAACTTTATTTCTAAAATTATTTTTTATTATCAATTTGTGTTTGTAAAGACAAATTTAATGTCTTCTTCAATTAAAACCTTTTAATGATCTGAAAATGGTTTGTTAAATGAAAATTTAGTAAATTTTTACACTAAAGATATTTTTTAAAATGTATTTTTGAACACCTCTTTATTTTGAAATTTATTTTTGAAAAATATTTTATTTCATATTATGTTAATAAATTTTTAATAGAAAAAAATTTTTGTTAACTGTTCAAAATTACATTATTTCACTATGAGTAATAAAACTAATATGTTTATTTTTTTAAAGTATGTTTTTACTTTGAAATTTTTTTTAAGAATTATAAATTAATTCGATTCATACTAAAACAAGATTTATTTTTAAGATATTTAATTCTCAATGAATTTATTATGAAATTTTATTCAAATTTAAATATTTTAGAAAATAATTAATAAAAGTGTACTAAGGCTTCTTTAAACATCAAAGAGGGTTCCTTTTTATAAAGTTCAATTATCAATCAGTATTTTTCTTAATCTTTGTGCCAATCCTATTACTCACAAAATCTTTATTATCTCTATAATTTGTATCCTTCATTAAACTGTAATTTATTACATTTTTCTTTTAAAGTATTTTCTGAAAGAATAACATTTCTTTTTTTTAGATTCAAGCACTTTGTCTTTAAATTAAAAAAAAACAAGTATGTAATTTAACATCAATTTTTGCTTTTTATAGTTTAATTCACAATTAAATTATTTTTTTGATATTTTTTAATTAATTCAAACAAGTAATAAAAAGATTTAATTTAGATTTACAATTGAATCTATTTAATTTTTTTTATTACTCACTAAAGTTGTTTTTAATACTTTTAAACACAAATTAATTGGTACAAATTTTAGTAATTTAGAGCAAATTATTCAAGTTGTCAATATTAAGTATTTTATTTAAAATTTAGGTTTTTAAGAAAATTTTATAAAAGTTTTCTGAAGAGTTTGAAAACATTAAATTCATTACAAAAATTAAGCTTTTTTATTAACTTTTTTAGAGTTAAAATACTTTTATTTTTATTTCTAGATTTATTCTTAGATCAACTATAGTTGTGTTACATCATTTTCATTCATAATTTTTAAATAATCACTAGTAAATCTTTCAACATTACTAATTCGGTAGACTAAATTAAAAAAGTTTCTTTTTTTAAAAATTTGATAATAATAAAGAGACAATTTAATTTTTTTTAATTTAAATCTATTCAAATCACAATTTTTGTAAAAACATATTTGTTTAATTTTATAATTTATTTCTTAATTAATTCATTTTCTTGACAACACCTTCATGCTTTTCATTAGGCTTAGTTATCTGCTCTAAAGAATTAAGATAATTTTTTTTATTAAGTATTCCTCTTTAAAAACTTGTTTATGTCATTTCTCTTAACAGATTCTTTTCTTGTTAATAAATGATTTTTTTTCATATAAAAGTTTAAACTTTGTATATCTTCTTGGATTAATTTTTTTATAAAATTAAATTTCTAATAATTCATCCTATTCTTTTCATCTGTAAATAATAAAGATAAGTTAAAAATTATTATCTGATTCCTTTCGTTTTATAACCCATTACTCTTTTATATATAATGTGTTAAATTTCACATACACACATATTTTTTCTGCTATTTTTTATATGATTTGTTTGTATACTCAAGTTCACAATACTTTCGTATTTTTTGTTGTGATACTTGTTAAGTAAATACTTCCAATAAAAATTTTTATACTTTAGAAGATATTTTAAAAACTTTTTATTTTTAATATTAAGTGATTTCACTGGTAGTTCTAGTCAAAGTATCCATACAATCCATGCCAATTATTAGAAAAACTAGTTACGAATTAAGAGCTATATTTTAAACTTTTAATTTAATTATGAGCTACAAGTTAAAAACATTAACTCAATACCTTCTTAATTAACACTTAACTAAATTTCTAAAAGAATTTTTTTTGTAATTGAAATATTGTTACATTCTTCTTCCTTCTAGATACTAATTTCAAATATAAAATAAGATAAGTTTGTTATTTATCTTTCAGTTTTGCCTTGTGGTTCTCGTGTATTCATAAAAAATATTAGTGGTTTATGATTAACTCTAATGTTAAATGGTATAAATAGGTAATATTTTACACTACAACTAAACCAAATACTTCCTTATATTTAATACTTTAGTTAACTTCTATACCTCTTAATTGTCTACTAAAAACATTACAATTATTTCATCTTTCTTAACTCCATATTTTAAAACTGCTTTTATTCTTTTATTTTTACATTTGTTTCTAAAATTATGAATAGTTAAGTTTTGGCGTATTAAAATCATATTTTTATAAAATTTTTATACCAGTTCTTCTATTTTTTGTCTTACAATTTTTTTCAGTTTTTCTTTCTTAACTACCATGTCACAAAGAATTTGAGTTTTTTTACAAAATTCTTTACGAAATCCCTGTTGTAAAATAAAATTTAAATTTTAGTTTCAATTTTTTTTACATTACAAAAATTTCTTCTTCATTTTATCTAAAAATATTTTTCCATTAGTTATTTTAAATTTTAAAAAATTGATTTCTTTTTATCAGAATCACACATATTATTATTTTATGTAGTTTATATTTAACCAGTCTCATTAATATCTCTCTTATTACAATATAATGTCGTATCTTTTTTTAGTTAAAAGTATGATATCATTATATATTAAAAATATATCTTTAGTATAACTTTCTTTAAGAAAATACATATCAAATCTTGAAAGTAGGAAAGTTAATTTTATTGTTTAAATGACATATTTCTATATTGTAACTATCAACTGATCTAGAAATTTTAGCTATTGATTTTTATTATTTAATCATTGAAACATCATGGTAACTTCTTAAAAATATTAGATATGAATGTATCAGTGGTATTAAACACGTAATAATATTAGGATTAATTTATTTTTTCTCATAAAAAAATAGAATATTAAAAAAACAACTAAAATCAATGAAAAAACATAATATAACAATTTTTCATAAATTTTTAATCAATGAATTATTAGTATATGATGATATTAGAAGCACTATTATGTAAAGGAAATAAAAAATTTAAAAGCTCTGTTTGCTAAAATTGTTTTTAAAAAGTATGTAAAGTGTGTATCTTTTCAACAAGATATGAAACAATATAGTTTAGAAATAAAGATAGAATAGTATTTAGAGTCTTCAACAATAGGCGCGATTGTTTTAGCAAATACATTTTTTCACTGAGCCATTTTTATCAAGTTTCAACGTATATCTTGGTAGTATACTGCATATATTTTATAAGAGATTGATCAACCAAATTTAAGTAAAGATTAAGTTAGAGGTGAACTTTAGAAGAAAGATAATTATAAAAATAATTGATTTCTTTAAATGCAGTGTTCAAAACATACTATAGAAAACCTACTTTGACTTGTAGTTAATAATCTGATTGTTCAACGGATAAAAATTTATTTAGATACAAACAATAATACCACTGCTATAGACAGCCATTAAAACAAATCTTGATATCTGGTTTTTAAAGTGTGTCATTCACCTCTACTAAAATTTCGTTACATATTGTGTCTAAAAGGATTTGCTTTACGCTTTCACTAATAATCAAAAGTGTTTGTTTTGAAGAAAATGTAATTCATTTTAATGAATGCTATATTTATACACGCATTGGTAATAGTTATTTGCGATTTTTCAATTTCAGTGTTAATCACAGTGGAGCATTTGTAAATCGTGTTACTAGTGTTATTACTAAGAATATAAAATGTGAATAAATTAAATGCAAATATGTGCTTAAAATACACAATAATAATGTATTTGTTAATAAAAATTTTGAAGATTTTTTAATTTTATCGAAGTTTTAATAAATTAAGTTTTACTATTTTATTTTTGTTAATTTTTTTAAGGAAAAAAGAACTTGATTCAAATTGTTTATATCATCTAGTTATGAATTTTTTATTTATGAGACTCAACAATTGGCGATATATTGTTGATCGTATTGTTATCTAGTTTTTAAATCTAATTTGTAAAGATTTTACACAAAATTTATAATCAAAAAATTATTTCAGAAAAAAAATTACATCAAACAGACTTTATAATATAGCTTTGTTTTAAAATTACGTCAAAACTAATAATTATATCAAATTTTACTTCTTTCGATGCAATTTTCAATATTTAAAATTTAAAGAAAAGTTTTATTATTATAAAATCTAACAATATACGAACTTCCAGTTTAAAAGAAGTTTTGATAACATTTTCAAATAGTTTAATTTTTAATTTTATATAAAATTTAGATTAACTTTAAATATTGTATGATTTATGTGAATATCTAAGCAATTACTTGATTTTTACTTAAAACTTGTTGTAATTTGTAATGTTTTATTTTCAATAATTCTATTTTTGATTTTCAAATTTAAATTAAATAATTTATAATTTATTTATTTAATCTGAAATGAATCATCGTGTTTATAAAAAAGTGGAGATTTTTTTGTAATGTTCAAATTTAAAAATCATTTAATGAATCTAAAAATTGTTAAAACATATATGATATGTTCAAGTTTATACAAAAACAAACTTTAATTTGAAAATGTTTGATTTTCATAAAATTTATTGTTTTATTTGGACAAACTTTTATTATTTCATCATATGTTAAATATAATTTGAATCAAATTTAGGTATAAACCTGATTTCTATTAACAACAGGTTTATTATATATAAGATTGCGACATTCTTTTGATTGGTGCCCTATTTTCTGATTGTCGCCACATAAAATTAAATAAAAAATTTTTATCAGTTTAAACATATGAATAAGAAAAGTGTCATTGTCTCATATGAGTGGAAAGCAAACAATGGTCTAAACTCTTATTTTCATGACTTCAATGTTGTAAATCATAGTGAGAATTTTACAGACCAAACTACTAGTTGCAATATCCAGTTAATTGAGAGTGTATGGAGCCATGTGAAGCTCGAAATAAAGAAAAATAAAAGAAGGACTGTTATTTCTCTCTTATAAATTTATAAAAGATTTTTTTTTGCATTTATTACTAACATAAAGGATTGGTGTTTGAAGAATTTATAAAGTTCATGATGAAGAATTTTTTATAAATTTTATTAACTTTTTCATTTTCTCAACAACCCCAACCTCTATCCCTTGAGGTAGGGGTTGTTGTGAAACAATCTAATTGACGGATTAAATTTAAAAAATGGGACGCTATCATAAAATATGGCACCAATCAAAACAGTGCTAAGATTGCTTTAAATATTTTAAAAGTTTTATAATTAAAAAAATAGGGTATAATTTAGATAAAAAAATACTCTAATTTTAAAAGTTCCAATAGATTTTTATTATCATTTTTGATTTCATTTTAAATATTTTTTTGATTTTTTTAGTAGTAAGTTTATTGGCTCTGTTTTACATAAAACATGGCCTTTAAATTTTAAATGTTCGATTTTTTTTCAGAAATTTCTAAGAGTTATATAATTTGTTAAAAATACTTATTTAGTAAGAATTATAATTAAATATCAGTTTAAAAATAACTTGTATATCTTTGTGATGCGTTGAATATATCCAATTAAATATTCTTAGTAGTTTCAAATTAATTAATAGACTTAAAAATTTTTAAATTTTTTCAATGAATAAAATGATAATTTTACTAGCTATAAAATAATTAATAAATGAAGCAGTTATCTTAAGAAAGAGATGTGTTGATATGGCATCTCTTTTATTATGTCTGTTCTTCAATGCACCTCATACGAAATGACAATCATTAAAAAGATTTTTTATTAATCTATAAATATTATTTATATTAATTAAATATTTACAAAAAATGAAAACTGGTTAAAAAACATTATTTTTTAATATTTTAATATATTAAAAAACAACTTTAAATATATTTAAAAAATTTTATATAGAGCGAAAAATACACCTTAGTTTATAAAAATAATACTATTTTTTGATGGGTCGAATTTCATATAAAGCGTTTTTAATAATTTAAAATTTGAATAATAAAACACACTTTTATAAAATTTTATAATTAAATAAGAACTGTATTATAAAACTTTTTCTATTTTTTAATATTAAAATATTAAATATTTTATTATCAATTAATTAGTATGAAAATGTAACACCAGTTAATAAAAACTGGTATTAATTTTTGTATATTCGATTTTAATATAAACATTTTTAATATTTTAAGGTTTTATAAATGAAACTCTTTTTAATAAAATATTAGTATATTGATTTACTCTACAGATACGACTAGTGATGATATAATATGTGTTCAAAAACTATATTATATTTGTATTTGTTTGTTGTTAATGGTATTTAGTAACTTTTATATTCAAATATTTTTAAATTTTTATAACAATTTGTTTTTGTAATTATTTTAAAAAAAATTTATTTATAAAAACATCAGCACTATAATTAGTAGAAATGAGGAGAGGTTTAAAATTTTTTTTTAATTTTAAATATAAAAAAATCAACTTTAAATATTTTCTCATGATTTTATAGATCAGAAGAATTAATTTATTGTTAACAAAAATAAAAGGTAATTTTTGATGGTTTGGTTTTAATATAAGACGTTTTAAAATATTTTAAAGATGAAAAAAGGATTATTTTACCACAATTTCATAGATTAATAGTGAGAGGTTTAAAAAACTTTTTCTATTTTAAAACATTCAATTATGACGTGAAATCTACAGTTAGATATGAATTTATTTAAAATTTAAATGTTAATGTTTTGTTTGTACATATCAGAATCGTAGTTGCTGTCTATTTTTAAATCTATTTTTTTGTTTGTTTATCTTTTTACTTATTGTAGTTTATCAATTATAAAATTTGTAATATTGAGATCATGACAGAAAA